TATATATATATATATATATATATATAGAATTTATTCACAGTACAAAACTATCTAATACATGGGACTTTACATCAACAAATAAATATTATGTTACACACCCAAAAACACAGACATTTCTTGTAAGTCTTTTTTCATCATCTTCAATATCTCTGCTTCTGAATGACGTCCAATGCCGTGATACCAGCTACTTTTTTTAATGATTTTACTGACAACAGGATAAGTTAAAAAATTCCATGGAAATGGCCATCTGGAAATTTTCATTATTGTTTGATTCTTGTCAAACACCCAGCGACATAGAGCACCCCCCCTAAAAGACAGAAAAATGTAAAGTAAAAAGATGAACAGTACACTTCCTATCTTCATAAACAATAATAAGCATGATTACAGCTCCTTTAAACTAAGATTGAGATTGTTTTAGATTTCTAACAATGATGAAGAATTTTGTTTAACATTAGAAACTATCGTAATAACTCAAAATCACATGAGTGTAGTTTTAGTAGTTAATAATGCTTACCAACTAACAATGTCTAAAGCCCACTTTGGCCAGTTGACAAGCTAGATCCTCAAACAGTTTGAGATTGTTACAGTTCACTAAAATGTTGAAACAATAAAAAGTATATCTACAAACATACAGTTTTTATTTATAACTAGTTTGTGAAACACGCATGTCATATCACAGCATTAGAAGGTCTTTCTCATTAGATTCGAGAAGCCTTCAATTAATAATGATAATGGATGATAACTTTAAATGGTTCATTTCTGTATGTGAGAATGGAATCTTTAATACCTTCTGCTATATATATTTTCTAAAGAGCATATAATGAACCATGATTGTGGTTTATAATAGAATTCATAATAGAACATATGGGCAAACATTATCTTAAAAAACAGACTTGTTCAAGGAACAACACTCAAGGCCTTCTATCTTAATTATTATTATTTGACAAGCCTACAGAAAAATAGCTATGAATATTTTATTCAAACCTCCTAAACAAAGGACTAAATATAGAACTATTTTTGTTGTTACTTGAAAGAGGAGAGATTTAGTTGTGTGCAATTATTTGTAATACAATAAAAAAAGTTTAGAGCACTTATTTTAAGTATCTGTTCTGATGTTTTTGAAATATATTTGTCCTTAAAATACCAACTCTACATACATCACAAGTCAAAATATAATTTATGTGTAAGAATTTTTTTATTACACTTACAATGGTAAACTTCTACCACAAACTAGCATATATATATATATATATATAGGAAAATTAGTCAAAAATGATTAAACAAAATTATAAATTTTTATTAAAGTCTCATTGCCTTCAATTCAATAGATCAATTTAAATCTTCAAAATGTTTATAACTTCAATAATTTTGGTTTATTAAAAAATCAATAAATAAAATCAGTTTCCTAATTAGTTAGATTTTTAAAAAAAAGTATATTTTTTCAAGTCTTAAATGTAACAGTGCAGGAACAATAAATCTCAGTCAATTGAACAAAAGATAAGAAAAGCCTAGCACAGTGACAGAAAAAAAGATAACATTTTTCTCTTTGAAATGGTTCAAAGACAAGGCTCAAGTAATTGAAAAATGCAATTTTCTTTATACCAAGTTAGCAGAGTTGTGGATGATACCTACGTAACACACAAACACATATATTCACCCACTTTCACTACTCCAAAGATAATAAAAAAACATATAATGTGCATTGATTTCCCATACATTTAAATGTATGTCACATGACAAGTATACAAGGTTACTCACTTTCAGTACCTTAAACATCCTATTCAACTATACTAGACAAATACATGAGGCTGGGTACATAATTTCCAAGTTTTTATGTGGAAAACTACAAGTTTAAATTGGTTTTACACTTCTGTTCTGAAATTTGCTTCTAAAATATGCATGTTGTTCAAAACCTTAATACAGAAAACCTATCAGTGACGTTTTTTGAGCTTAGTTTACCAGAATTTTCCACATATATTCACCACAAAGCAAGAGGAAATAATTTTGTCTTTGACCTTCAACATTACAAGTGTTTACATTATACCTGCATATCCTTCATTGTAGCTCAAACCATTCCTGTGAATACAAACACATGAGAAGTAACCAACAACTTGTGCTATCAGGCTGCATGAGTTTGTGTTAATCTTTATAAATGAAAAGTGGAAGTGTTGAACACAAACAACGGGCTTACCGTGGTTATACCCGTATATTGCTCAGTGACACAGATTACTGTATCTTTAAAAAATAAGCTTTTTACCCTAGTGTATTAATTTTAAACTCGTGATGTAACTACGCGAGAAAGTTTAAAGTTAATTTACTATAAATACTTTTTTGTTTTATGACTTGCAATTTCTTTTCACAAATGAGTTGCTTAAGCTGATATAAAAAAAACTGTGGCAGGAGAGAAAACATAAGCCTTTTAAAAATTTAACAGTTCTAAATGCTAAAAAATTTATGCACGTTTTCTGCTCCTCAGTAGATTTGGTTTTCCTGATATTGAGCTAAATGCAGCAACTTATTTCTGGAAGATTAAATAACTAAAAATATCCTGTGTACTGTTACCCCATTTCTATAGTGGGATTTGTAACAATATCATAATGATGTTGAAATCATGAATACTACATGGAGTGGGTCTGTCAAATTAGATTTGCCCAAAATTAAACCAGCACATTTTTAAATGAACAACTAACTCTTCATGTACTTGTACTTGTGCACATGATTACAATGGCAACTACTGTAGTAATCCATTAAAAATAAATTTTGTGGTAACACCAAGTAAACACTGTGTAATCATTGAGAATTGTTTCATTTTGGGACCTCATAAAATTACTGTCCAATAATAATTTTTAGTGGTTTGAGTATGTTATCTGTTTTTGATTATTCATATAACTGTATATCCAAAAAAAGGTATATTTATACATTGTATTTTACCCTTCATATTGAGCATGAAGCTAATCTATATTAATATAAATTACATAAACTATCACTTTGAAAAAATAAAATCTTGGATACATATCTTAAAACTGATACATCCACTGCTTGCTATGAAACAAGTGCTTCAAAGAGAGATGTACTAGATGATATAACAATCTACAAAACTGATATATATATACACTACTTGCTATGAGAACATTACTTCAGAGAGTGATTGACCACATAATATCACAGCCCACAAGACTGATATATACAGTAATATATATACACACACACACAAACACAGCTTAAAAGATTGATTTACTACAGCAACAGTACAGAAAACTGATAAATAAACTGAATGCTATGAAACAAATACTTGTGAATGACATTCTACATAATATAACACAATCAATAAGACTGACTGATATGAAACAAATGCAGGAGAGTGATATTCTACACAATATAACACAGTCAATAGGACTGATGATATATACACTGATTGCTACGAAACCAGTGCTTCAATAAGTGATGTAATAAAGCATGATTTTTTTTTTTTTTATTATTTAGGTTCAAAAAGCTACTTCAGAATGATGCAATAATTAATATGTTTACCTCCTAATCACATAGTATCTTTCAAATGTAACAGAAAATTTATCCCAAATTGTACTAATGGACAATAATATTTACTGAAAATGTTCTTGTGCATAGAAAAAAAAGGAGTAAATAATATACATAAATACATTTTTATATTCTAATAACAGATTAAACCTTCAGCTCATGATGTTGAAGAACATGCTTGAAGTTAATAAGTTGTAGAGACAACTGATACGAGAAAAACAATAGTGAACAAAGAATTAAAGAAGCTCTTCTAATATGAGAGCACAAATACAAATTAAACCAATACTGTTCATACCCACACTAATAGTGTGGTCCATCTGGGCAGGAAACATCCACTGGAAGTGCCTTGCATAAGATTGTGTGTTTCATATTGTGTACATAAGGTATTGAGAGATCAACAAGTGCAGTCCACCTAGGTAAAATAATCCAGGAGAAGCACCTTCTGTTAGTATTGTAGAAGTGCCTTGCACAAAAAAATAATAATAGTGTAAACAAATGCAGTCAGACCAGGCAAGAACATCTGGGAGAAGTGCTTTGTGGTTATTGAGTATAACAAGTGCAGTCCCTCTGGGTAGAAAACATCCAGTGGAAGAGCCTTGCATTAATAGTGTATGTCATTATCAACCCAGGCAAAAAACATCTGGGAGAAGTGCTTTGTGGTTATTGAGTATAACAAGTGCAGTCCCTCTGGGTAGAAAACATCCAGTGGAAGAGCCTTGCATTAATAGTGTATGTCATTATAAACCCGGGCAAAAAACATCTGGAAGAAGAGCTTTGGATTGAGAAAAGTATGATAGTGCATAATATGAAGCATAACGACAATAGTCCCCTTCTCATAGAGTGGATATATATGACTAGGAAGTTTTAATTACCATACAAATCCACTCGTGAGGATACCTCCACGGTCCACCACTCCATCAACTAGGAACCGGAAATGGCAAGGACCCCCCTTGCTTCAATAGGAGAAAAGGGGGGGGGATACATATTGGGGGGTCCAGAAACACCCCATCTCCACAATGAGCATTAGAAAAATATGCAGAGACAGTGCTAAGATAAAAAAACAGCACACCTGACTAGGCAACACCTGAAATACAATGTAAAGCAACTGCAAAAGAACAAAATAAAAAAAGATATAATATGTCAACTTACCTCAATCAAAGTCAAACACACATGTGAAGAATTGCCACAGGAGAAAGAGGATACCCGACTGAGGAAGATACAGCTAGATCATGCAAGTAATGCATGACAAAAGTATTAGGAGTTGTCCACATACTGGCTTGAATAATCTCCTCCAAAGGATGGTGGATCCGAGCAGCTAAGGACATAGTTAAATGGCAAATTCGGTGCAAAGAAACATTAAACAGCTGATGACCTTCACCGACAAGTCAGAATAAGCTAGTCATACGAGTTGTGAACCAAGGTAGTAAGGGTTCTAAATAAAGCTTTTTGCCTTTTTTTATTGCAATACTTTGTCTTGTTTCTTTACTTTCACCTGCAACAAGTTGCTACGTCTGTTCTTCTGCATACTAGATCAAGGAATCTCTTGTTTTTTGTGGAGATTGTGATCTAGGTTTATACTTGAATTACCACAATAACAGTATTACTTTTCTTTATGTTTATACTTTCATTTGTTTGCCCAGTAGAATTCAATTAAATGATTTTGCCAATATAAAGAGTACAAAAAAATTTCAGACAAAAAAAATGCTTACCAGTATGTATGATTTTCAACCATGATTCTGAAAGCATGTGCAATGGATTTGTCAACATCATTCAGTTTAGCATTCAGGTCAATACTGAATCTGGAATTCAGGAATTCTATGACAAGCTGAGAGTCAGCAATGTCTTCTCCGTTAAAGGTGATGAAAGGACATTTTCCTTTAGATCCAATGAAGTCAGTAAAATCATTCTGTGTCAGAATTACACAAAATTAATAGTATACTAGCAACGCTAGCCATTCTGTATGCTAACATTTAATGGTCTATACAGAAACTTGTAGCTAAAAGAAACAACAACAAAAATTGATGTTTTAAGAATATATATAATAAAAGTATGTCACTTAGGTGAAGGAAGACTGATAAGTCAATAGGCAATGTTTGTTATATGTACTTTTGTTATGATCAAAGAGTATAAAAGTATGTGTGCATACATGTTTGTTAGAGAGAATACCCACTTATACCAAGTTGTTCACCAGCCCCTATCACTGACTTAGGTGAAGGAAGACTGATAAGTCAATAGGCAATGTTTGTTATATGTACTTTTGTTATGATCAAAGAGTATAAAAGTATGTGGGCATACATATTTGTTAGAGAGAATACCCACTTATACCAAGTTGTTCACCAGCCCCTATCACTGACTTAGATAGGTAGATGAAAGCTAAAAACAAAACAAAAAATAACTCTAAACTGCATGTATCTGGCCACTGGTATGAAATTTGTTATCACGTGACAAGCTATTCCAGTGAAAGGTAAAGAAATCCCAAGTGTTAAATCAGGCAGGAAAGTGAAATAGCTTTTAACACTTAGCACTAGCATGATTAAATTTTATTAACACAAACTTAGATGAAATAACACACATTTTTGAAAAGACATTATAAAAATTCAAGACTGTGTAACAATGTTCCTAGCTAGTGTAATATGCATGCAATAATGACTGCCATAGCAACAAGAAAGTAATGTTCCAGAACATATAGATTCCAGTTGGCAAGAAATAAACCGACATACATGTTTATTAAATAATGAAGAAAAAAGGAATTTGTAGAAAGTAATTAACAGCAACAAGCTTATCAAACCAATATTTATGAAGCCTACTCAGAGATGCTGAAATAAGATTTCAGATGATATTTAAAATATCAATTCTATGTATGTTACAAAGTGTGTATAACTAAATTTAGACATAAAACATGTGACAGGGTATCAAAATTAAGCTTAAACCCTTCTCTGGTTTATTAGCGATTTACATGGGAGGGAAAAAATACAATTTATGATGTCAGAAACATTTTGATTTCATGTTTTTAACCATTTCTATTGTAGACATAATAAAGTTAACATTTTCCTTACCTGAAAATGCATTTCAGATAAATACTTATCTCTTTGCATCACTAAGAGCTATCCTATCCCATGTCTAGTAATCCCTGTGAGCACTGGCACATGATAATAGGCTCTTTCTTGAAAATGATAAACTTCAGAAATTCTACTTACCTCTCTGCACCACTAAGAATTAAAATCCCACATTAAAAATTGTGGAAGGGGCTGGTGCAGGCTAATTACAAAGATGAACTCCTTTTTAAAATAGCAACAGAATGGGGAAGCTTATGAGGCATGTCTTTCACAAAACTGTGGGTTGCCTAGTAGAGCAGCACCCAGCAGGAGACCACATCCTTCTGGAGGAGGGAATATTTGTTTATTCATTCATTCAAATATAACATTTACATTACAGAGAGATTTACAGTAAAATATAGTGGTTAAATTTAGTGTTACAAAGGTGAATGGAACATGAGAATGTGTAGTGTGGTTACAGCATTAGACCATTTCATCTTGGTGAAATACCAGTTCTTGTAACAACAGGTGGATGGAGAAGGAGCTCTCATCTGTGTTCCAAGGAAAATCCAAGTCTCATCCAGCTAGACATATCCACCTGGGCATATTGTAATGGTGTTATGAGTTATGGACACTCAGAGAGAACTACAAGGAGGCACTACAGAAAGTTGAACACTTGGAAGTAGTAAATGACAATGCTAAAAGTGTGTAGCCCTTATTGAGAAGTATAATGCCATCACAGGAAAGAAAGTAACAAGAGAACTCCTCCTCCTCCAAGTTGTAGAGGATCATAGAAGATACTTTCCTAACAGCAAAAAGGAAACAATAACAATGCAAAAGTGACTAACTACATCAAAATCATAATTATGTAATTATACTATTGTACATGCAATAATATAATAACATACTTTAAATAAATCATTTATAATGCACAAAAAACAGTTTTATATCACATAGTACATATGGAATCAGGCCACTGCAGTCTAGAAGTTCAACTTCCAAATATGGTCCAAAATTAATGAATTTTGGCATTTAGTTTCTTTATGTACATTGGAATAAATTTATGGTGTGAGAACTTTAGAATTTTTAACCTATAATTTTTACTTTCAAGTAAGGAATACCCTATGTAAGAGGGACTGGACAAAAGATCTGATTAACCTCCTGGACAATCTAGGTCTTTGAAAGAAAGAGGGTGTACCGTAAACATCAACAACCCATCAATATCAGAGAGTATGGGAGATGACTAAAGCATAAATGCCTGAATGATGATGATCACAACCAAGGAAGAGAAAATATGTCATGAGAGACAAATTATACAAGGAATAGGAGGCCAAAAGCTCAAGGAGGAGGAGGGAGGTAGGAACCCAAAAAACCATACAAATATCCCAGAAGGGAAGAGGGACGGGACAAGGGGAGGGAAAATGCCCCACAATAATCTGCACTGGTTGAAACATACAAGCCTCAGATGAAAAGCCAGGTAAAGAAGGAAACAAGATATAGGGAGTAGGTCAATCTGGCTGAAGAGCATGGTAGAGGGAGCTAGTGGTATTAGACAGCTCATGTACACTGATAGAGGGCAAGAGTAGAATGCTGACAAGAGTGAGAGAAAAGGGAGTACTCTATGGGAAAACCCCATCCATCATGCAAGGAACTGGACATATTTCACACATGGAAACAAAAATGCAACACCCTGTTATGAAAAAGGGATGAATGAGGTAGACTAAGGAGAGACCTCTAAAGTGGGAGTCACAAAAGAATCAATTTGAAGGTTACAAAATGGGAACAACTACAAAGAGAAACAGAAGGATGTAAGGACCACTATTTGAGATGGGTCTTGTCAAGGTGAAAGAAACAATCAGCCACAAGATACAAATCCCAAAAACAGAACATATCATAAAGAGAATACGATAACTGTTAGCTCAGAAAAGAAGTCCAGAGCAAGAAAGTACAGGTCCTAAGAGAGGTGTCTCCCTGGTAGTTGATTGAAGTAATGACATAGAATTGTCCAAGATTATCAGACAATTGCAAACAATTAAGAAAGTAAGCCCGATAGGTGGCAATCATCTTCAAAAGGTGATAGGCAGATAATGCTTCTCTGGAGATCAGACCATAGAGAAAGTAATAGTGTTGAGAACTGCCCCTTCCCAACCAGAAAGAGGCATTGATGTACATCAGGCTGAGGGAGGAGTGATATAATCCAGGTTGTGTTGGAAGCCACCTCAAAAGAATGATGTAGAAGCAAGAGTTCCAAAATACCATCAGTTAACTTGTTGGTACACCATAGTTCATCACAGCTCACTAAGATTGTGGGAGCTAACTTATCCACAACATCAAAAGTACCTCACCACAGAATGAAATTCAAGACCTATCACATACAGGCATGAGCTCTACTAAGTGAACTAAAGGTATAAATGAGTGTAAGATCCATAAACAGATAAAAGTGCCTCCAATCACCATTAAGTCAGTTGGAGAAAATGCTTGAAAAGGAACAGGACCTTTTTTTTTCAATATATATCTCTTACTTTGTTGACAGTTGCCTAAAATAGATATGTGGTGCAATCAGGTGGATGGAGCAAAAATGCAACAAAGACAATAGCAGTGTAGCACCAAAGAAAGAAAGGCAGTCAATTAAAGCAACTAGAAACTCAAAAAGTACAGGAAAACCACATCTGAACACAGGAAGTGCTGTGGAAAGAATGAGCCCAGGATCATATACTAGTGCTTACAGGATTACTGTGCATGGAGGTCATGCCACCCTCCTACTGGCAGAGGGTTACAGCATTATGTCATAGGCTAATGCAATATATGTAGACACATTTATGGATGGGAGTTTGTGGCATAAGCAGGAAATTTCATAGCATTTATGCATGAGGAATAGTTCTTAGTGGTGCAGAGAGGTAAGTAGCATTTCTGAAGTACTTCTAAATCTGGCAGTGCTTTTTACATATACCTGTACAAACAAAAATGTTTCATGGAATCAAGACGTACAATAGTGTGTCTTCCAGCCAAAAAAACAACCAGCAGGACACAGTGTGTGTTATTAACAGAAGTAATAGTTTAGTAATACTCCACCTTCTGTAGTTTGGACTGTGGTAATCCAAACTATCACATATTTTCAATGGATGTGCTGTACTGAACTCTTATTTCACATACCAAATTTCAAAGCAATCCATTAAGAAATATCTGAAATATAACATCTCCAATTTTGATTGAGTTTTTACCTTTTTTGTTCTCTCTTTTTGAACCAAATGTACAAAAACTTTATTTGATAGAAAAAGCATATTTAACTTTTATGGATTTTTTTCAAATTTGGTACACTGATGGATCTTTATAATCTACAATTTGAAGTTACATTTGGTGTAAATATAAGCCACGTGTAAAATTATTCAATAAAAACCACTCAAATTTAGCAAACATTTTTGTGCATGCCTATGCAAAAAGTCACGTGAGCTACAAGTCTAACATTTTTATTCCAGCTTCACTTAAGAGCAAATGTGGACTGTTTTTAGTTTTTGTCATTCGGATCAAATACAGCTGATTTAAAGCAGCATAAACTATAAGGTGAAAGGACACACAGATACGTAAGTATTAGTTAGGTCAAGCAAACTAGATTAGCAGTTTCTAGTTCAAGTTTTCAACAGAATCATACG